ACATGTGCTATTTAATAGGTGCTTAAAATAGACCTTGTACAAGTATACAGTAGAAATAAATATTAAAAAAGAAATAATAATAAACATTGAAATATGCAACGAATTTAATAAATGTAAAACAGAATACATTCTAACGAGTTCATCATTAAAGAAGAATTCTATCATTTTATACTGATTGGTAATTTAAAAATAAAGGTATGTTCAATCTTTCTTTATTTTGGAGAAAATAAAGAATTAAACTATTTTATTATATTAAATTATAATATTAAACTATTTTTAATGTGAGAGTTTATAATGTTCATAACTGTCAATATACTAGCAAAATATATAGTATATTTAAAATACTTCCCTAGCTGTCTATTCAATTGATAAAAAAGTAAAAGAGTGAGATATTCTGCAAAAAAATATTACTTGATATTTTAAGAAATTTCTTAAGTAATTTTGAACTTAAAACTTTAGAAACTAATTGAAAGAAGCATTTTCATTCATAGTATAACTACAAACTTAAATAACTGTTAACTATAAACTACAGAACAAATCGTTTTCAGCGGGAAAATTTGTATAACGATTCTGGGGGCGTGGTTTCGTTTTGATTGGATGAAGTACACAGGGTGGGAGAAGGGGCGGGGCCACTTTCCCCACCATCATAACTTTTTCTAAGTTGTTCTAATAACCCATAAACAAATTATATAATCGGACATCGCGTGTGCTGCATCATTTCCCACTATTTTACAGTTAATCGCGTCTGCAGCCGAACAGATGTAATGACACGCAATATATTATTCTAGTAGTTGGTGTCATTTAACTGATGAGAGAACTGTGGTAAACAAGAAAAAAATTGTACATGGAGGAAAATGTTTTTATCTCGAAATTGCTACGAATTGGAAGACAGTCCAGTTTCTTTCCGAAGGCAAAAAAATTGATGTCTTACCCCAAGTACTTAATATTATTAGATTTTTATTGCTTATACCACCAACCAATACTAACTCCATAAACATAAATTGTCTTCTACAGAAATATTCATGTAATCCTTCAAAAGTAATAAAGTAAACATTCAATCAGCAAACTAATTTCTTCTCCAGGAATTTATGTTTTTTTTTTTTTCAAATTGTAAATATACAATGTATTTATGTTCAACGTGAATGGAAATAGAAGACAAACTCTGTCGCATCGTACTCTGAATGATTTTACTGGAAAATTTCGAAATGAAACATTTATGAAGTTGCTTGTCTGGGAAAAACATGAAACGCAAAGGTGACTTAAAGTAACACGCTTCTTTTCCCGGATAAAAAAAATTTACAAGAAAATTATACATCGCGTTTAAACTGAAGAATGGTGATCTAGAAACTTCGAAAAGATATTTTTGGCATTGCTTGTCAATCATGTATTCTTCGGAACATTTTTTGAATAGCGAAAATACTAAAAATATCCTACATATCAGGGTAAATTATTCATTACCCGTACTATCATAGATACGAAGTGTACTTTATGTCCTCTTATGGAAGAGGAAAGAAAAAGCAAGCGTAAATACATGAATAACGGTGTAAGCAAAAATAATGACCACTTTTCTTATTAAATATTCGTATTGGGTCGAAGGAAGTGATAACATAATATTTGTATGTATATATTTTTTAAACATGCAATAAAGTAGAATATTGTAGTAAATATTATAGTGAGTTTCTAAAAAAAAAAATAGTAGTAGTATAAAATAATTATTGTTATACACATTAATAATTGTTATACTAATAATAATAATTATTATCATTATACTATACAATAATATTAACAATAAATAATTATAGTTACTTTAACTATGGAATTAATATAGTATAACCATTATTAATATTATTAATATGCAATATAACATACATAATTAGTATTACACTAATTATAGCAGTCCAGTATAGTTTATAGTATATCAACAAATATATAGTAACATTAATAATAATAGTTAGAATCATTTTAAAAACAATCACTATTTTTGCATGTACTTAATAATTGTACGTACTGTACACGTTATAACAAAAAGCAAAAATATAAATAAAATTAAATTAATGAACCTCTTAAAATAGAAAAAGATCCGGTGATACATAAAAATTCGAAAATCAATCTTAAATTGTACGAAAAAAATCTAAAGTCAATCTTAAAATGTATGATCATCGAAAATGCAAAAATTTGACTGTTAAATCATTATGTGTAATTATTTTTGACGTTGAATGTCTTCCATTGAACGTCACTTTACTTGGTTGAAAAAAGAACGCGATAAAATCGAACTTTTCATTGAGCAATAAGCCGTGGGAATTAAAAAGATATTAACCATTCGAAAGGGACAATTAGACGTGCGAATACTTTTATTGATCCCTTTATGTATTAGTAAACTTCTCGTTTGTTTGATAATCCGATATACCGTTACTGCCTCCTGACTGGTGAAATAACGGCCTCGTAAATGACCACTCTTACGAAACACCCTCCACGAGTCAATTTCTGAAATTGACTTCTGAAACTTATCCACGTTGTTTTTGATGTGATACTGCCATTACTTTTCGGAAAAATTAACCAAAAAACCAAGTAACGTAGGTCTTTCGTCTAAAAATTCAGAATGTATCAAACTAATTTCATTGCAAAAATATATTTTATAAATTAGTATCACACTATTACTACTTTACGTATATCAAATATTTCGAAATAGAAACGTTACTTTAATATTTCATATTAATTTTTAAACTAAAATAGTTCAAATTTGATCAATAATTTAAATTTGTATAAAACATTTAACAGATATTGCTTAAATAAATAATCTCACTAGAAAGAACACACTATATTTAAAGAAATCGCAGAATACATTAAAGCACATCTAAACTGTATAATAGATCGTAATGCAACAATAATGGAGGTTGTAATTGAATTAGAAACAATGAGAATAGCTACACAGTTATTTACGTAATGTTCAATCTGAATAAACTAAATTAATTAGGTATAAACATTTGCTAATACGAAAAACCCATTATATAATGCTACTTAATCGTGAGAAACAAAATCACAATATTTGCTTCATAATTGCGCGCCTAAATTAATCCCGCGTTTGCCGCGTCGGAAATACAAACTGCACTTAACCTAACCTTCGTTACAATTGATCTACCGCCTAACACAAGTAACCAATTACCGATATCAAAGAACAAATAAACGCAAGTAATAACGTTTTATTTTGAAGCATAAACGAAACTTTGTAACCGATAATAGTCGATGAAAACCGGATGCAATTTTCTCATCGTCATTAATTGTTCCGGTGTTTTCGATCGACGTACTTCACTGTTTGTAAACATTTTTCCGAAATGGCGCGCTATCGAAAGCGAACGGAGCTAAAGGAACCGAACATCCGTACGTATGCGCGGAAAAACAAAGAAAGATGGAGCCAACCGTATCGGGTCAGACAAGGAACAGAAGGGAGAAGAAGGGAGGGGCAGGAAACGTGGTGAGACGTAGTGATGGGACTAATTCGATTATCATGTCGAAATGTACAATCGATTAAATCCCTTGCAAAATTCTTCAGGGACACTGACAAGAAAAAATATCTACTCTAGTTATTAAAATAAATATATAGAATTTTAAATCCATAACTGATACTATAATATGCATATACACATAGAAAAACATATGCATGAGTAAATGTACTTTAAAGCCATCTAATTTTACAGTAAATTTAATATAAAAATAGAGATTAATAACAATAAAAATTTTTAATTAATACTTAACTTCTTTAGTATACTAAAAACATTGCTTTAAATGTGATATTAATGCTTTACTTGAAATGCATAATTTAAGCTCATTTCAAAAATATCTTTGCATTTACGTCAAATGAAATTTGCAATTTTTTAAAAGTCAGTAATTTTATAGACTAGGTATTTTAAAAGATAGTAGAAACTGAAATTGTTGAATACGAATGGTCATTCTAAACTACTACGCAATCTTTCAAGAACAGAGTAGAGGTGCCGCTATCGATTATTGATACACCATCGCTTTCTTATCGATATTTAACGATATATCGATAATATTGTTACAATATCATTAAGGTTAATGGGGGTGACTGAGGTAGAATGTTATACGTAAGATAAAAATATAAATTATCATTTAAATTTATTTTTATTTAATCTTCAAATATAACCCCGCTTTATCTGATGCATTATTTTATCATTAAATTTATTTATTCTTGCATAAACTTTGAATATAACCTGATTTCAAAGTGAAGATTAATATTATGTACCAAGTTAGGTTGAATTAGATTTTATCATTCAAATCTGTTAGGTTTGGGTTAGGGTAAATTAAGTTAAATTAGATTAGGTTAATTTAGATTGCGTTACAAGATTCGACTAGGTTTGTTTGTTAGTATAGGATTACGTTCGTTTGAGATTACAGGTAGATAAGAGTCAGATTATGTTAGAGCAAATTACATTAGGTTAGGGTTATATTTGTTTATGGTTAGTGTTAGGTCAGGGTTAAAATCTGGTTGTGTCAATTAAATTTAGGTTAGGTTAGAAGTACATTCACTTGGGATTGCTGTCATGTTATGTTTGATTGAATTAAATTACATTAAGATAGGTTATATTAATTCAATTTACATTCTGTTAGGTTTTACCATTCGAATCTATTTATATTTTTTTAACTTTAAATATAATTCGATTTCGTTTCAAATACGAATAATTAAATTTAAATCAATGATAAAATTACGTGTTATATTCAATCGCTCACTTGCCTCAACGATATTATCGACATATCAAATTATCGATATTTGTCGGTAACATTGTTGACAACAGCAACTCTACATCCAAGTCTATCTAATTTTAAGCAAAACCGGAAATATCTAAAACTAACCAGTACATTGTAGCAACACTGTTGTTATCGCTTGCTTACGAGCGTGTCGGATCTATCGCTAGAAGCAAACACAGTCGGTCGAGGTGGTTAGATTGACAAAAAGCAGGAAAGATCGAAGAGTATCGACGTACCTCGGATCAGGCAAGATGATCTTCTTGCTGGCCCTGGCGGCCGGTGTGCATTTGCTCTTCTCCATGGCCATCAGGTAGCTGACGTCGGCCAGCACCGCCTCGAGGTCCGCCATTTTCCTCGGTGGTCTCTAAATCTTTCGGACGTGAACACGGCCTGCCCACCCTGGAGCTGGTTACCTCGACGACACTCTGCTCACCGCGACGGACGCGTCGTTCTCACAGTCG